AAAATGTCAGCCTGCAGCTGGCAGAGACGAAACACACAACTTAAAGCAAAGCACTCCTTAAGTTCAGAATGTATATAAAAATAAAGCGCAATCCAATCTTAAGCTGCTTGCCAATAGGAACCAGATGAAATCAGTGCGAGTACATTACGTATCCGCCACCTGCGCCAACGCACCTAGGCACGTACTGCCAATGTGTATTTTCATTTATTCTAAATCAGTTTGCCACAAAACTTCCTGAATGAAAATCCGAACTCTCGTTCTTTCGCTGACGGGGTACTTCCCCCGGAAAATCCGACTCCATCCACGTCTGAGGAGCCTACAATGTCGACGAAGTGGCGCCCCAAATGGAGCTGAGAAAAAAAAATAACAAAGTTTCAGCAACTTGTATAAATAAAAATGTTTTCGTATACGAGTGATAATACGTTTTTTATGGCTGCTGCTGTTGCTGATGCTGATGTTGATGCCGATGTTGATGCCGTCGAAGTTCGGTAGCTGGCTGAGCTGCTCTGAGCCAGGCTAATATTTGCTTAGCTGTGTTCAAGTTTGGCTCGACCCGGCTTGCTTTTGTGCAAACAGGCAAATCAAACAGCAGTTTGAGAGCCACAGTTATGATACCAGTATTCTGGGCATGTTTCGGGAAAACTTTTCCCCGTCTCATCAGCTCCAGTTTCTGGCCCTTTGCCAAAGTGCACGGAAAAGTGCAGTCAACTGTTGGCAATAAGCCGAACCAAAAATGTCGATGGGGAAAAAACTGTTAAAGCTACTGCCGGCTAAACTGCCACAAATCAAATATTATTGGCCAAACGCTTTTCTTTCGCAGCAACTGTTTGTTCAACCATAAACCTTTTTGCCCGACCCTCTTGTTAATAAATATTTAAACGGCAATTCAACCGAGCGAATTGCTAAAGATATAGCCATGCGGAAATGAATTTATTTGCGATGCTGCTGGCGAATGGGGGTGCCACAGCTGTTTGGCTAAATCTAGCATGGGAACCTGTGTGCACCGCATAGAAAACAGCTCGCAATCTTCTTGTTCGACTCTTTGTGTCTGCTTACTCATAGACGGGTTCGTAATTTGGCAGCAATAATGAAAACGAGACACATGTCACCGACCAGCCCCCACAGCGCCTTCTGTCGATGCAGACATAAATTTAATTTAATTGAAAAAATTGTGCATAGAGTATATCGAAAATTACAAGGCATAAACGGCTTATTAGAGTTGAATTTATTATGGGGGCATCCCGTCGACTGTTAGCAATCAAATTTTTGGCATCACAATTTTATGATTTCAATGCACTGCTTCAAAGAAAGGCATTCAAGTCACTCTACATAATTTGAAAGATACAATTTGTATTGTAAAGGAAAAGGCTTAGAGAATCCTTTTTCCTTTCTTTTTCCGATTTTCTTGTAGTTCAATTGACTGCCAAGCAGGTTGTCTACCAATAGTCAGCCAACCTTTCTTGGAAGTGCGAATAACATGAGCAGCAAAGTCTAATGTTTAGTGAGTGTCAGTTGAAAAGATTCTCCTGCTTGAACACGAGCTCTCACTTGACAATTTCTGCGAATCGCAATAAAACATTCCACATTTTCCTTTTCGCCTTGGCACTCACTAATAAATTCAGTTTTGTCAGCCGCCGAAATGCACTTAGCCATTCGCTCACCGTACTTAGTTGCACGTGCCAAAACAGAACTAAAAATAATTTATATGCAAAATAGAGAGCTTCAAAAACGTATACAAATCATCAGAAGTGTCTAAATTAATTTGAATACGTTCTTTTGCGAAGATGGCTCGCTAAGCGAGGCGCCTGATAAGCTGGAGAAAAACTTACAAACAACTACGGAGAGGACAGATTCAAGTCCCCAGCTCCAAGACTTCTGCTTACTGTGGGACAATATTTGAATCGTGTCATGGAATATTCCATGAATCTCTGGATCTGTGTTGAGAACTTGGCTGAATGTTGACGGGCCGCAATAACATCCCTTGGCCTCGGCTCTCCGTGAGTTCAAATATTGGGTGGAGGGGTGCAGGGTGGCGCTGGGCGGTGGGTGGGTTATATTGGAGGCCCTCATATGTTGCTATTGCCACTGTGACGTCACCCGGACAGAGGGTCTGCGAATCAGTGAATCGTGAATCGTGAGTCGGGAGTCGCGAGCGGGTTAACTGTCAGCGATAAGTCGGAGGCAAAAACAGAGACAGCCAGCCCGACGGCATATTTATGGGCCCATTTCCCCAACAAATCCCGGCCGGAGTACTGTATATATATATATATATATATAGAAAAGATAAAACCAGAGTAAGCTTCGTGAGAAAAGCACAGTTCCACGGATTCTTGGCCTAGGACTGAACCAAAAACTTGACTCTACTCTTAAACTTATTGTAGAAATTCGAGAAAGAAACTGAAGTAGTGTGTGTGTGTGCGCTGGCAAATATATTAAATCATTTTGATTATGCTGTTAGATGTTCTAGTGCCCCATCAGCGATAACAAAACAGGCTGATAAGGCCCGTCATTCATTTGCATATTATACGAGTAACATGGCCTGACTCTGCCAACTCTGCAGATTGAATCCGAGCAGCAGTAGTTTCGTGAAAAACAAAGCACTCCACGCGGCCAGACTGCAGCTGTCGTAAATACACGGCCCTCTTCGCGGAAAACAACGACGATCCCCAAAATCGACGAACATAACATAAATCCATAGCCGTATCTGTATTTCAGAAACACCCGTGTTGGTTTTCTGGCCGCTCAAGGGTGTGCAGCCGAGTCAATGCACTCGAATCACTCAAGTTCACATGCAAATTGGATAAATCCGAAATCGCTTAGATTTATGACACAAAGCGGCGATTGGCATTCATATTTAATTCTTGGCGAGCACCTATGACAGGTTGGGTCGAAACTTCCGAGAGGTTCATTGACACAGCGCTTAGATAATCTCGGCTCAGTTATTAGTTTTCCGATCTTTGACATCATATGCCGCATTGACGTGTCATTATCCGTGGATCAGAGGGGGGAAAAAAGCAATATGTCGCAGTCGAAAAGTTTATTTCCTCTTGCCTAATCGACAAATTTGCCTAAGATGACAGGCAGCTTGTCCACCCACGCGGTCTTCTCTGCTCTTCACCTATCTTTCGACAGTTTCTAGCGTTTAAATCCAATTTATTCGTTTCGTGTTTGTGTAGACCGCTTGTGCTGAGCGTAAAATAAGAAATATCGAAATCTGTGCCTCTGTGCCAACTGCCAAAATCTGTTCTAATGACTTTTGGCATTCTTTTTGTCTTGCCACTCAGCAGGCTTACAAAAATGGGGTTTTAATGTTGTTTAAGTTTTATTTAATTATGCAGCTATTCAAATTAATATTTTATGGCTTAACACCACGGAAGCAAGTTGACATTTTGGGTAATGCCTGACGGGCTTGTCCAAATGGGAAGAAATTAGTGGATTTAACGAGGGAGCCAGTTAAAGCACTCAAGTAGAAAATAGATTTTTAATTGATGCAGTTCATTTTGTAGAGCTTTTTATTTGCTTGCAACTTTTGCAATCTAGCGATTTTGCAGCTGAGCTTGATGGTTATAATTGATCTTTTATTTAAGTCAAGGACCTTTCTTGGAGTTCGATCTTTTTAGTTCGTTTTGTTTTTAAGTTTGTGTAAATGGTTAAAGTTCCATGTTTCACACAAGAAGACCGTGTACCTAATTAAACAAGCTAATTTAAATGCTAATTTAATCTGTGATATTTCAGACAATTTGTTCACACCGCCGGCGAGTTCGAAACTGGAAATTCTATTTTGAGACCACAATTGGCAAACAACAGAAGACTTTTTTGTGCCGAGTGATGGGTAGAAATGTCAGAGGCATCACCGAGGCATATTAAACGCACCATAGACCGAGACGCGCAGTGAATCATAAAATAAATAAATAAGTGCGACGCTCTCGGTGACCGAATTGTTGGGGGACAGCAACGCATCCGCTAGATACTCAGATACTCGCTGGGGGTGTCCGAGGGTTCGCTCTCGGTCTCCATTTCTGTTTCTGTTTCGGTTTCGGTTCTGACTTTGTTTATGTGCCGCATTTTTCTGTTGAAAGACCAAACAGAGACGTTCCGTTGTCACCGCATTGCTGCAAAAATTAGCGTGTCTATATGGAGTATCTATCATTCGTACTTATCACGTTTCTTGACTTGGGCCAGCAGGGTGAGTCAGGTGTTGAGGTAAGCCATGGCACTTTGATATTATACACGAGTATTTTAGCCCGGTGCCAAACGATTAGTCATCGCAACGCCCAATTGCACCGCCTCTAATCCGTTCTAATACCCCCCAATTCGATTGGTTTGGCCAAGTGTTTGATCTCCGTGGTCGAGTTCTAAGTAGCAAACCCGTACTCGTACCAATCACCGACTGCCATATAGAGAGACACCGCCACACCCCGCAGCTTTCCCCTTTTCTAAAAATGTGACAACCGAATGGGTTGTTTGACTTGCGGATTGGACAGCACACGGCACGAAATTTTGCTAAATATAATTTCTGTTTCATTCCCTGGAAGTTTTATTTAGCATCGACTGAGTTAGATGTTAAATTTGGCTTGCAATTGTTCACTAGATTATTTCTTCCTGTGCAAAATTCGTTTTCGTTTTGAAATGAAACACGCGCTTGCCACAATTCGGCGAAAATAAAACAAAAAGAATAAAATTTCGAGCTGTTTCTCTTCGATTTATGAATCAATTAATACGGCCATGGGTCGAAAACTGAAATGCTGAATGAAATGCTGAACTTGTGCGCCCCGTGGTCTGGTTAAGTGTTTGTTCGTGTTCTAGAGCTCTTGTCGGCGAAGTTGAGAGCAGGTTGGATCGATAAATTCCCTCGTATTAATTGGATGAGGAAAGTACTGCCTACTGTACTCAGAACTCTTTGGTCCAACCTCTGTGGCTGCAGATGTGGAGATCAGCGTGGGTTACCGCTTTCAAGCCCCCAATTGAACTGCCCCCAGTGAAAAAGTCATGATAATTAATTCTTTTAAGACACATAATCTTTTATTTGAATAGTTTCTTGCTCTTTTTGTGGTTTGGTATGGTTTGGTTGTGTTTTTTATTTTTGAATTTGTTAGCAGCTTGGCTGGATTATACCGGATTAGACTTGCAATAGCCACCAATTGTTGCTGTTAATTATTCGTGTTTGCTGCATTTTCTCTTCAGATTAAAAGCTAATTTGTCACATTGAATTTTGTTTTTGTTTTTCATTTTCTCTAACTCTTGCTTTTTGCTCTTACATCGAATGGTTTAGCGAATGACAGTAGAATAAATTTGAAAAAATATCACTATTTAGTAAAGGTATGTATACACACATAAGCTTGTATATAGTATATCTATTAATACATGTTTTAAGTTATTTTTAATGCATTTCGAAATTACATTCTTGGTTGCCCCCTTGCTCAACATCACAATAATTGGTTTTGAAATATTTTCCTTGTCCGACACACATGCATGAATATTTATAGATATTTCCTATGCACACACTCTATATAAAATATAAACTTTAGAAATATAAATTCGAGGTTGTTTAGTGTTTTGTGTGTGTGTGTGTATCAGTGTGTTGATTTTGGGCTTGGGTTTTGTTTTTTTTCTAGTGCAGCCGAGGGAAATCAAAGCAGGAGAACTTAAGGTATAAAGCTTTCTGGCCGGGAGCGGACTAAAACAGAGAGACAAATGCCAGGGCCATCGAACATTTTCCCATGCATTATGCATAAGCCAGGTCGATGGCTCCGACCTTTGACCTATTGCCGCTGTCCATATCGCACTTTAAATTAAATCTAATGAGGTATTTAGCTGCACGCAATGCCCGCGGAGTTCTAGGAAAGCAAATTGACTTAGCCAAGGGCTAACTAACTGCTGACTGACTGATAGACTGGGCCAACCGCCAGCCACCCTTGCACCGGCCAAAAGGCATTTTCAATATGAAAACGCCGCCTGCAAAAGTCGCTGACGTTGGCCACCTAAAAAAAAAGCACTGTTCGGCACTAGGTGCTCGGTTTAAGACTACTCGGCTCTACTACTTAGGCTCTAGAATACACATATGCTTTGCACATTGACTTAATTAACTTATGAATTGAATGTTTCCGTCTCTTCTCGTTTAGCCAGAATGTGTTTTTTGTGTTGTTTTTTTGGAGTTAAAGCTTTGCGGTGTGGATGTCTAATAAATATGTACAATCGCTACAATAAATAATAAATTACTTGTGGGAGCTCGAAATAACTGTGCTGTCTTTGCTGTTTGTGGTTTCACTTGAGTTAAAACATTAAATGTTCATATGCTTGTTGCTTAGGTACATTGATTACGATCTCGACTTGGCTTGGCTTGGTTCCACTTTTCAGTTTGATATCCACCCTAAGATATAACTCCTGTCACCCTATCTCTGTTAATTTGACTTGTACAAAGTTTTCAATCATTAAAAGGTACTTTGTTTTTTTTGTGTTAATTTTTTTGTGTTAATTTAAAGCATCTCAAACTGTTCAGTTTGACTTTCTTTGTGTTTGTGGTTTTCTTTTTCTTTTGGCATGAGAAGCTTCTAGGACAGCATGATCTGGTCTTAAAACTCAAGTTCAAACAGTTGTCTTTGCTAATTGCTAAACTTACAAATTACGAATACTGTTTTTAGAATTCTTCAGCAAGCGAGTTTAGTGTTTGTCTACTCTCTAAGTTATATAGTTCTTAGCCCCGTTTAAACCTCGGTGGGCAAACTCTGACTTTGGCAGCCCGACTGCAGTTTCTTGGAGCTGCGGAAGAACATGTCGAAGAGTCTGGCCCGCCGGTTCTGGAACTTCTGCGGCGACGTGGGGGTGATGGCTATATGCTCCACGATGGTGATGCCCCTCTGCAGTTTGGGGCGCAGCGGGCGAGCCGGTGGTGCTGGGGTGGGTGGTGCAACAGTAGGCGGTGGCGTGGCCGGCGGTGGATCCTCAGAGTCCGCCGAACCCTTGCCGCCACCGAAGTTAATGATGGTGCTGCAGCTGCTGTTGGGTCTCAAGGTCAGTGTGGTGTGCACTGGCACTTGACCCACCAGCGAACTCTGGGGCGTCAGGTAGCGACAGCTGTTGCTGCTGTACTGCGACAACTTGCTGCTGTTGCGCTGCAGCTGCGCTCCGCCTGCAGCAGGACCTGCGGTGCCGTTGGTCTTCACGCTGCTGCTGCAGTGGCGCTGCAGACCAGCTGAAGATTCCAGGCCGAACAGACGCTTCACTCCCCTCCTCACCCGCTTGTTCCTGTAGGCGAAGATGAACGGCGAGCTGAGGTTGGCCAGCAGGATCATGAAGATGGCCAGCTGCGAGGAGCCGCCAAAGTTGGCAGCCGATAGGCGGGATTGCAGAAGTACCAGCAAGCCGAAGGGCAGGTAGGAGACCACGAACATCACCACCACCAGTATGCTGATCCTTGCGGCACGCGACTCCTCGCGGTACTTGAACAGCGAACTGGCGTTGCTCAGCCGATGACGCAGGGAGCTCATGTAACTGAGAGCCTTGGGGGAGGCGTGGATGGCGGGGATCTGGAGGGCGTGGCCGTGCTGCCGCGGCGAACTGAAGTGCGGGTGGTGCTGCTGCTGGTGGTTGTGGTGGTGCTGCTGCTGGTGCTGCAGGTGCAACTGCTGCGAGTGCTGCTGCTGCTGCCGCTGCGCGTGGCCCAACAAATGCGGAGAGCCGCACTCCTCGCCCAGCGAATCCTGTCGCAGTTCCGTGTACTTGTGCAGATTGGGGGAACTGTGCACCTGGCGGATGCCCTGCATGCGGTGCGCCTCCCTCAGGTCCTGCGAGGAGGTTCCCAGAAGAGGCAGCTGCCTGGCGGAGTAGTTCCGCTTGATCTCCCCGCTGGCCGTTTGCAGTGTTAGCATGATGTTCTGGTTCCTGTCCGACAGCGCGTGCTCCTGCACGGGCATCAGTTGGACCCCAGTTCCACTCTCTGCATCCGCATCCGAACCACCGTCATCGGAAATCGTGGGCAGCAGAACCTTCGCTGCCGAATCCCTTCTCAAGCAACTCGGCGAACTTCTGGGCTGCTGGCGCTGGTCAATCTGCATCTGCAGACCGCCGATTCCCAAGCTGCTGTTTCCCCCGTGTGAACTTGCCGAGGAAATGGAATGCCGATGGACACACAGGCTGTTGGAGAACTGATTGCTCTGGGCCGCCTGCTGGCCAGCCGTCAGATTAAGAGCGCTCTGCAGCAGCGGCGAAGAGCCATTCTGGCGCATGCGCAACCCGTTGCCGCGCGCCTCGCTGAAGATCCTCCAGTACATTCCGCACACGAAGCCGAAGGGCAAGAGGATGATGACGATGAAGTAGACGCTGGCGTACACCACGCCGAAGATGCTGTTCGTGCTGCTGATGTTGAAGTACGTGACTGCCAGGCGGCGTTGTCTGCTGAACAGCGTGTCCGCCTCGAAGTCGAGCACCCGGAAGGCGGAGAGTGCCCCGAAGAGGATGCCCACCACCCAGGTGAGTGCGATGAAGATCCAGGTCTTCACCCCCGAGATGCGGCTGTGGTACCGCAGCGGATCCGTCACCGCGCACCAGGTGTCCCCCACCACAAGGAGCACTGCCAGAGCGCCCAGAGCGGCGGTCATGTCGATGGACCAGCACCTCAGTTGCACGGGCGGCAGGATGGGAGCTGCTGTGGGTTGGCCCTCGAAGGCGGAGAGGTTCTCCTCGTGGGTCTCCGTCTCCGTGATGACGAACCCGCCATCGCCGCGCTCGTCGATGGTCAACTCGCGGCAGTAGGTGGCGTTGCACTTGAAGAACGTCTCCACCGAATCGCCGTTCTCGCTGATGTTGCGTCGCACCACCACGCCGTCCTGCTCCACCAGCTGGCCATTTCGCCGGAGGATCACCTGGTGGTTTCCCGGCTTCGAGAAGAACTCCAAGGTCTCTGTGGGCGTGGAGGCTACCTCCGCTGACTTGCCTGGCAGCCCAAGGAAGAGAGTGGGGGCCAAGATGCAGCAGCCGATGAGGTTGATGGCCAGCAGGTTGATCGTGAAGCGGTTGGCGGTGGTCCTCAGTCCCGGCGTTATCCAGAAGGCACACAGCGCCAGCAGGTTGATCAGGAACGAGACGAGCAGCAGGGCCAGGATCAGGAGGTCTATGGCCATTCTTTATGCTGTTTTTCGATTACCACACATCACTTTACAGTTTCACAGTCACTTATCGCCTTTATTTTGCTTGGCTTTTTCGTTTTGTTTGGCCGTTTGGCTGTTTGGCTTTGCTTATGACACAAATTTCACTCGGAATATCCGCTGTCTCTCGTCTCTTCACATTTGCAGCCAATTTTTTAGGTTTTATTTCAGTTTTGTTGTTTAATATCGGTTTTTTGTTTTATTCGTGTGAGGCTTGTTTCTTGCGAACGCTTGCTAATTTACGTGCGAGATTTGTAAAAAACAATTTCTTTTTTGCTCTCAAGCAGTTGCTTTTTCACTTGTGTTTACTTAACGTGTCTTGTCAATTGTTTGGGGGAAGTCTTGGCTCAAATTCATTCGCCGTGTATTTTCTTTTTTACGCGCACCGATCGGACGAGCACGATCTTCACTCCGAAGCGTTCCAAGCACAACTGTCGCGAGCGGTCGCCCCAACGCCTCCAAATATACTCTGCCGCTCGGCAGCGGGTGCGAGTGAGAGGCCCCGGGGGAGCGAGAGAGACGGAGCAACGCCAGCGCGAGAACGGCGAGCGAAAAGAGCGATCCGGAGAGCTGGGAGAGCGCGATGTTGCTGCCGTGGTGCGATAATTGTTGCTGGTGTTGCTGCCGTGATTGGCGATTCCCACGCTCCGACTTTGAAATTATGTTGCTGCAAGTGGCCGCTTCTCTGTTGCCAGCCGGTCTTTATCACTTGTTGTTGTTGCTGTTGCTGCTGCTGCTGCTTTTGTTGTCGTTGCTGCAAGTGATGGTGTTGCTGTTGCTGCTGCTCCAAGTGATGTTGTTATTGCCTCCTCAGTGGTTGTTGCCGCTGCAAGTATTGCTGTTGCTGCTGTTGTCCTAGTTGAGTGCCGCAGCAACACAAATTGTATAATCTGTTTCTGCTTGTTTTTTTTTTTTTTTTTGCAATGCCAATTGCCGCTTCACTTTTGCTCTGTATTACATCACTAGCTCAATGTTATTGCTGCTGCTGCTGCTGCTCGAGCTTTTCCATTTTCCAAGACACATTTTCTTCTGGCTTCTGCACAATTTCCAATGTGCAACAACGGCGTCCGCGCTCTATTTTCTTAGCCATAAAAATTGCATTTTTATTAGGCCGACTACTGCTGCTGCTGCCGCTGCCGCTAAATAAACAACAACAACAGCTGATGAAATTCCCACCATTGGCCGCCAGCTGCAAGAAGGAAAGAGAGAGGGAAACAATCAGAATGAGAGCGAGATAGCACACACGAGATATGTCCGTGCGATAAGGCACTGGCTGCTATTAGTGTTGTTTTGATTGTGAAATTAAAAACAAATACATGCTGGACCAAGATGATACAGCAGATTCGCTGAGGCTGCCGAAAACCCGCTCGGCAATGACTCAGAAAATATTTAATTTCGTTATTGAAATCGGCACGCTCCCGTTATGCACATAGGAAATTCGTTATCGGTAGTTCGTTGATAAGGAAGCAATCCACCCTTTCATTTTTTTTTTGTTGGGGAACTGTCCAGAAGTCTGTCATAGAAACTAATAGTCAATTACCCAAAATCGTTAAGGAGCCCCACACGCTCAGTCCACATGAGCCCCCCTTGATTACTGGTAACTGAGTTTTCTTTATAACTACGCATTATCCAGCCATTCGGTACACAAATCGGACGATCAGCCGCTTACAACATGACCGGCGAATCGACTTTAATGAGCTCATCGCAAATTCTCTTCGCTTCCCCGTAGTTATTAAAAGTTTGAGGCATCTGGCCAAAAGTCATTGGCACAAAGAGAAAATTTAAGAATTTTTAGAATAATTTTTAATGCAAAATATCGTACTCTAAATTATTGGAAGAAATATGTTTACCAAGAGATTGCACTTTAGGCAATAAGATTGAGAAGTTTACTTCTATATTCCAATCCGACAAAGAACTATTTTCTCTGTGCATTTCCTTATTATTTCATTTCCATGAAACACTCGAGTCGCATTTTTTTTTTTGGACACGCGTCCGGAGACTGTGAAAAATCAACAGAAACCATTTTCATCTGGGCAATTTTTTTTTGGTGTCAGGTCTGAGCGGCGTTTGCATGCCCTACTTACGACAAGAGATATATATTTATTAATAGCTGCGGTGCCTGCAAACGAGTCGTGAAAACGACAGAAGATGCCAAATGAATGATTGCCGATAAAGATGGCGCGTTTAATTTGCCCACAGAATCAACTGGGTTGAATTATGGCTATTGTCACGAGAAGATTTATGAAATTTAATTATGCAATGACTTTATTAAAATTTAATTATAGATTGCCAGCTGGGGTCTTTGTCTTGATGTTGGCATGCATATTATTTAACGAGTATAATAAATATATTCAGAACATAATGTTTAGTTGAATAATATTTAGTGTCTATTATTGGAGGCAAATATAATTTATGGGTTACTTAAACACGATTTACTAAGAATTGTACATATTTATTTGCATTTATTAAGTATGCTAATGCTTGCTAGAATTGTTTTATAAGTTGTGTGAAAGTTTAAAGAATTTTATCACTATCTAAGTTGAATTTAATCCTCTGCAAACTCAAACATCCGCTCCAAACTAGACTGTTATCAATCGGGAGCTCGATCAATGTCCGCCAACAATCGATCATACGGCAACATTCCGAACATTTACATTTGACTAAAACCCATCCAAGCAAAACATCCATCCATCTACGGCGTGTGACGTTGAGTCAATAGAGCGCCCGACTAATTCATATTTACTCTAGCCCGATCTAAAGATCTCTGTGGACATTATCTATGGCATTTTAAAGTGTGAAAGCGATCTTTTAGCGGCATTTTAGGGGTGTGAATTTAACGCGCGTTTTAACGCTTCGCTCGTCATTTGATAAAACTGGGTGGGGAAAAAGAACTAAAACTAAAATCACAGAGGAGCTCTCATTTTTCAAAAGGTTATCTTAGGAAGGAAGTCTTTGATTATTTATTGATAACGGAACACAAAAGGCAATTCCCAGTAGTTCAAATAATAGTGCTAGTGCTGATAGTAACCATTTGGACTCTGATTGTTCGCTTTTCAAAGGGAAACACTTTGTTCTTAAACTGAGAGTTTCCGCTCGCGTGCAGACTCTCGGTTTCTACAAATTTGATTAATTTCATGGGGTAGACTGTGTCCGAGAGTTGAGATCAAAGTCGCATTGCCGACCAACAATGAGTTTTTTTAAGCAGAGATTCTTGAATAAAATTGACAATTCGATTGTGCATGTCTACTGCATTAAATACTTTTCATTGAATCCATTATCTTGACAAGTCTAATATCAATTGCTTTTAATCGAAATGCAAGTGTCACTAAAAATCGTAATTAAGTATAATTGACCTCTACTTAAAAAGACAATTGAGAAAAGAATATAAGGTATAGGTATGCATAAAACAATACATTTAAGAACATTTTAAATTTTATGGAAAATATTTTTTTATTAGAGTACTTTTGAGATCGGCTAGCAGTTGATAACTTGGCCCTATCGGATGTAATTTTTATGGCCAGCGACAATTGCATAGTGATTTGTCTGGACAGGTGTTTGCAGTTTGTCGTCTGGTCTAGGGTGCATATCTACCTATGTTCATATATATCTGCGTATCGGATTGTTAGTATATCTCCCAGTATCGGCGCTTGACTGTTTGCACTGCGTCTGATGATCGGGTTAAGAATTTGCACCGGCTGGATAATGCGCTCATTTGCATGACTCGGCGAAACGATAAACTTAAGGCGTGAGTAAACGGCGCGTTAGATCGCTGCTCTGAGAAAAAAAAAATAACCGGGAACAAAGTGCCAACGATATTTATATGTTAATGTCCAGTCGAACTTATTCACCCTGCTGGCCAACTGAGGAGGCTGGTCTTTCGACCATCACCGGGGGACTCACAAAGCACGTGATCAGTATTTATCGCAGTGAGCATGAATAACACCGAGTCTGAGCCACTGAGATAAGGCCAAAACAGAGTGATTCCCAGGCCAGCACAAAGAGACAATCTCTGTAAGCCAGTCTATGTTAAAGCCGGTTTTTTTACCGCTTTTGTCTCCACTTCGGTCTTTACTTCAGTTTTAAATTGTGACGTCACTTTTGACGTTGGCTTTTTTGTGTGCATTTCGAGTGCTCGCCTCGGAAAATATTTAAATTAAGTTTTTGCACTCAGTCGCGGACTTTACTCTGCCCCCAAGACGGTGCACGTGTTTATCGGTGAAATTAAAGCACTTAAGCCCCATAAGACCATAAAAAATTCATATAAACGATATTTAACCCATATTTGTTGCCTGGTTGATAATTTCATGTCTCCCCTCCAAATTGGGTGCGAATTTCTATATGTGCACCGCACAAAAAGTACTTCTGACAATTGGATTGTTTTAAAGAGCAAAATGCTTTGATATTTGAACGAAGGCACCGAAAAATCACCGAATTTGTACAACATGCGCCATGCATTTTTGAGCCCTACTTAAGCTGAAAATGATTGTTTTTTTCGGTGTGGCGCCCACACGTGTGTGCATTCCCCCCAAGCCCAAAAATGGAAGACTGATTCGATAGGGACGGGCCCTGAGTGAGCCAGAGCCATTAATTTACCGGACCATATGCAGTCGAGTCGAATACTTTTGGTCATCATGATGTCGCATGTCCTTGAGCTGGTTAAAGGCCCATCAAGTCCGGCTAATGATTAGTTGGCCATAATGCCGGGCCCATCGAGTCAGTTGATTGCATTGCCGAATGAGGAAATTATCTCGAACCAATTTCACTTGAGCTATGGGGCTTTTGGGCGAGGTGAAGACCTGATAAGAACTTTGTGGCAATGTCAACATTTCGAACACCATTTCGAAGCTTAAAGTGCGAATGAAATTGCAGCAATGCACTTAAAACTCCCATGTACATTGTCAAAATTCCCGATATCAACTTATCAACTTACGATATTGTTTTATAACTTCCTGGCATATGTAAATACATAGTTAAAGACCTGGAATTACTTTTGTTTTAGATTTTCTGGGCTTATTGTTAAAATTTCTGTATACATTTTTTAGATATTTTAGAAATACCTCAATGATGACCACACAAACTTCCGATATAATTTTCTCGCTTACACAAGCTGCCAATCGCTTTTCTGGCATATTGAAAAAACATTTGCTATTTTTACACTTATATATTTATTTTCTGAGTAAAGTGATTTCCGCCAGGGCGCTAATTTGTTTCACACTCGGCCAAAGTTTTGAGTGGCTGCCTTCTTAGTAGACAGTTTTATAATAACTTTTAGCCCTGGCAAATCTGCTAATTGACGGCTGAGGCCCAGCCCTTTTAACTTACGAACAGGTGAGTCGAGCGAAATGACGAATCCCCTCGAACGTATATTATTTATTGTATAATGCAGAAATATTGACAGTTTCCGTTGCCTGATAAGATTACGTCTCGGGCAAACAGTTTTAATAGACAATCAGGGAGTTGAGCTCGGCTTCGG